AGTTATTGCTAATCCTATATTCTATAGAAGAGGGTATATGTTTGATTACACATGGAGGGTGGTTAGAATTCCGGTGGATGCATATTGGATTGGCATTTGTTTTCATGTAGGGTTAGAATACATTAACTAGGTCTAATGTAACTGCAAGGAAATCTACTTATTTTTAAAATTAGTTTTGATCTTAACTTTAAGGTTAAGACTTTCAAATTTTCTTTAAATTTTTTCTGTTGAAATTAACTTTACATCTGATTATCCTCCTACCCCTCCCTATCCTTTGAAAAATTGAACAGGTCATATTTGTCTACAACCAAAATACATTTCTTGCTTACATGTTTTCCACAATTCCACAATTGTCAATGATGATATTATAAGTGCCAGTCTATAATGTCATGAAAAAAAAAAAAAAAAAAACTTCCCCACCTCCACCCTCTGAACATAATTTTCTATTTAGTGTAGATCTGACACTTGATTGATCAAGACAAAGCCACAAGTCTATTTTTAATTCTGACATTAGCTTTCTCACCCCACCTTTATCTTTTGAAAAAGAGGTAACACTTTACTTTTGATATTTTCTTAAAAGTCATTTAAATAGCCAGTTACTTGTCATCACCTGAAGAGGTACCAAGTGCCAAAACACAAAAGCTACTGTGTAGAGATTTCAACATGTTTTTGTTCTACAATAACATATTTCTCTACTTTGTACTGAGCACTTGTTTTTAAAGTAAATGCTACGAACAGTGGAATTTTACGCCATCTGTTCTTTCTCTCTCATATATATATATATATATATATATATATATATATATATAAAGAAAGAGGTTGTAGTGGTTCCAACAAGAGAAAAGTATGTATATTGAGAGGTGCCGCAAACATTTTTGGTTGTAATTTTTTTTTTTTTTTTTAGGAAAAATATGCTTTATTTCCCATAATTTTACTACATGTGTTTCTGGTCTCGTGACCGCCTTCAGGTAAAAGTGGAGATTTCCACATTAAAAATAATTTTTTCCTTATGTTTTTCAATGTTAAATATTCTCAATATGAGACATTCTGTTAGTAATCCGAATGTCTTTTTTGAATTGGCAATAAAGAGTTCTGCGCGAAGGGTTATAAAACAAGGTTGGTCCAAGAGAAATGATAAATTACTTATCGGCATTTTATCTTTTAATGTTTTACTGACCCCTGTGCGTTCTTAGATCTATTTCCATTTTCCTGTGTTTCTGTCAGCATGCGTGTATATATGTGTGCGTATATTTCCCCTCCATACATATACTGTCTGACAGTTTCCTTTGAAAGTTCTCAAACTCCTGCTGCACATGTATCAAGCCAGTGTGGTGATGAAAGTACACGATAGCAAAATGAAGAAAACTAATAGAAAAATAATAATGAAAATGATAAAACCCTTTGGTTACTGATGGCTATTTTAAATTTAGTAATTTTATAAGAGTTGCACAAATATTAGATACTGAATGATTGATTTTTGTGTTAGAAGTTCTGTAAATGTTCTGATAATGTATATGAATACATTTCAAAATGTTTTTTTGGGATGCAGCATGAATTCAATTCTGCTTTCATTGTTCTACTACCAGGTATCATCATCATCATAACAAAATGTAATATCAATGGCTTAATATAGATTAGGGCAGATTGATTTTGGAACCATGGTAATGCAATAGTTATGATAGTTGGGATTTGACATGATAAATAACAACAGAAAATATTTTTTTCTCAAATCATTATTGTTAGGTGATCAAACAACATTAGAGGTTGAAATTTAATAAAGAAAATATTTTCATTGTTCTCAATAAATCAAATAAAACTACATAAGGATTATAAATAATGAAAAAATATTTACTTGTAAAGGCAAAATGGAGATTAAATATACTGTGTTTACATAATTGACAGGAATAAAAGATCATTTTTTTTCTCTTTCATGGAATTCAGAATTTATTTTTCAGTAAAAAAGACTAATTTTAATTATCAATAAAACCCCATAAAACCAATAAATTTCTCCATTTTAATAAAAATAAATAAGGGAATATTACATAGGGCAGAAGGTGAATGTATTTTGTTTCAAGAGAGCCAGACTGATTAACAGAAAATCTCTTACTGCATCCAAAGTAAAAAGAATTAAGGAACAGCTGGAGAAATTATTTGATATTTTTTCATGTTGCTGTAAACTGCCTGTCTTAAGATACGATTTGCTGTAAAGCACAACACAGAAAAAAAAAAAAAATTACCAAAGGCACATGATCTGCACTTGTCCTCCTAATAAGAAGGTAATGTTAATTCTATGATTGTTTTTTTGTTTGCTTTGTTTAATTTGAACAAGTTCATGTCCTGAATTGAACAATTTCAATTGATAAATATTAATCATCTTCCTTTTTCTGGTGAATAAGAGCGATATTTTCTTTAATATTTGTCATGTATGCTAGATCTGTTATTAAATGCATGCACATTTTGAAATTGCAGGTTCCAATTGAAGAGAGGGAATATTTAAAAGATCAGAAAAAGAAAACAGGAACAAAAAGAAGTTTCCAACTTGGATCTATCGACAAATCTTCATATGTTGCTTTCTCTACATAAATTATTTTTCCACAGACATCTTCCAGTGAAGAAACAACTGATGAGTTTTGAGCCAGGGAGACAGTGTAAAGGAACTTACTTTTAAAAGTCCCTAGATGTTCCATGGAACTTGATGTATTTTCTAACCTTGGGGCTTGCCTTGCTAATGCCTTTCTATTAGACCTACAACATATGGGCTTTCTTCATCCAACCATTAATTTAAAAGATATTATAAACAAATTAAAAATAGATAGGGAAAAAGGCAAGATTTAAAGTAACCAGCCATTGGAGTTGATTGCAGAGCTGATAAAGACACTTTGTATTGCAAGGAAATTACAGAGGAAAATAGCAAAAAAAAAAAAAAAAAAAATCAAGAAAAGCAAGAGACTAGAGCACGACTTAATCACCAGAGAGATGGGCACTGAAAGTAAATATCTCACCCACAGAGTCATACCCAACATTGGTGCAAGTGGTGTTCTTCTAGCAGAGAATGTTGCTGAAGTTCTAGAAGAGTGCAACAGTGTAAATACGGTTAAGGCAATTCTGGTGGACAATACCAATACAAACACTGGTTGTGAAACAGGGCTGGTTACATCTCCGGAGAGAAAACTTAGGAAATTACATAACACTGGCTGTTCCTTTCATCAAAATGAACTGCCATTTAGAGCCATCTTTAAATTAATTGATGGAACTAAAAAGAAGCCCAACTACTTTCACTGGTCCTCTAGGGAAACTTTGTGGAAGTAATTACCAGGATTTACCCCAAGTAGAATTTCTTATTAGTGGCCCTCTGGATAATTTTTATCTTACTGCAGAGGCAATAGACAATCTAAGTGGTGACCAGCAACTACTTTTGGAATATGCTGTAGGCATTTCTCAAGGGAAAGGGAAAGTGAAACCTAGATTTGCTGACTGATAGATTGGGCATCTGAATCAAGATGGCTAACTTTAGCCATCAGGTTAATGTGCTTGCGAACCAGAGGTGACTATCTACTAGAACTCTCACATAAATTACACACCATTATCAAATTTATAATAATTGAAGTGTATGTTGTTTCAAGATCAAAAGGGACAATACATTCTTTAACCAACAACTGTATATCTTAAATATGATCCAAAGAGTAAAGCAACAGTCAACTGAAATAAAGTTGCAGTAAAAAATTTACAGTACAATGCTTTTGCCTTGCTTCTGGAAAAAATTCTGTTGTCAATGTTGAAGTCAACTGAATTGAGGTGAGGGAAGAGGCCATAAAAAAGATTTTGTCTATTAGGTAAGTAAACATTTATTTAATTGTGTCAATTCACAAGAATAATTTTAAAGTTTCATTCAAATTGCATAAAAAAAAAATATAACCAAACTTTCTAATAAAAATATTTTTTGTTTCAGAAGTAGCAAACCACCAAAAGAAAATAACTGCCATCAATTCTGAAGCCATACATTGGTCAACTTTGATTGACCTTTCACAAAGTGGGGTCTGTGAACCTGCACTTGCAGAAACTTTTTCAAACAAAGAACTCCTACATTGGAATTTCCAAATTTACCTGCATATTCACAAAGCATGCTGTCAAATTAACGACTGAAGCTTTACAAATTATGTAAAGACAGGAAGCAAGGTACAAGCACATTATAACCAAATCATTGTGCCACCAAATAAAACCTTCATTTACTTTGAAGGAAAACTACAGTGAACAATTTAAGTTCTATTATGACAATTTTATGAAGTGCAGTAGGTTTTAGCTATTTTACTTTGAATGAAAGTCTTAAAAACCCAAGGAAATGTGGTTATGTATGAGAGAGCATGAGTGAACAAGTGAGAATGAAACAAAAGATTTTCAGAAATATTATTTTCCTCATTAGTTATTCAGAAAGCCAAATGGGCCACATGTAGCCTGTGAGCAGCAGTTTGCCCATAACTGGCCTAATGTGAGGATTAATGGATGAGCAAGCATAAGAGTGGACTACTTTCTCAAATTATTTTACCTGACCAGGCAGTAAAAAAAAAAAAAAATTGTTTACTTCCAGAGTTATTGTGTTTGTCTTGTCTGGTTTTTCACACGTCTGCACATTGAGAGCGCTCCCTCACAACAGAGAGGAGAAAAAAAAAAAAAAAAAAAAAAGAGGAGTGTAATATAGCTCTCCTAGTCCCACACTCACTGACTATTGGCTAATACTTGCTCAATATCATTCATATTAAAATTGTCAGCACCACCTACTATCTTTTCCAACAGCCCATTGTGGAAGGGGACGTAACTCCTGGTGCTTACAGCACCACATGCAACCAACTCAGTCTTATCAAGTTGACCAGATTCTCTGTTAGTTATATTTAAGAAAGAGAAGCAAAACTAGTTAACAGGGATTCATAATCCAAGCATTTTTTTTTTTTTTTTTACTTACGGGTTTTCTTGAAACAATATTTACAAAGAATCATATTACTTACCATCATATAAGGATCATCAACAAGAGGGTAGAAAAAGTCTGTTGTCTGCACCAATGAGAGCCCACCATGTCTCAAAGGAGTCACACTTGAGTCCATGCCAATACCTACATCATATATAAAAAGAAATTTTTATTTACAATTTTCAAAATTAAAAATTTATTTTAAGAAAACGGACAATATTTAGATGTTAGTAGATTACTTATACTGTAAATATTGTACATTTAAAAATAGGTTAAAAATAAGCTTTTTTTTTTTTTTTTTTTTAAACAGATTAACTTCCTGAAAATAAATATCTAAAATTAATAAACGTTATATCATGTGAATATCTATTTTCAAAGCCCTCCTAAATAATATTTTTTCTTTATAATGCATACATGCAAAAAATTATTTAAGTAAATAAAATAAAAATAAGCTGTTATTTTAATCTTCGTGGTCAATATTTGATGTTTCAGAAGACACAAATGATAAGGGATCTGACTATATAATAAATATTTAGAGTTAGCTCCCTTGCAAATCAAAAATGTTGCATGTCGTGCTCTTAAAAATTATGGAAACTAAAATACCAAGACAAGCTCTCCCTACTTGAAAGACAGTGACAACACAAGTTTGCCCACTACATTTGGTTTTTATGCTATAATAAAATCAAAGTACCAAATCAGACTACTTAACAATTACAAGGACGATTCTTTTTAATATTATGCCAACCATAAATAACCAAATATTAATTGAAGAAATTAATTTCCATTAAATATAATCTTACAAGTTTTTTAACTTTTCTTCTAAAATGCATATACAAGACAATTTGGAAAAGTACTTGTTTCACCAATAAAGCAGAATCACCAGTAAAAGAATTTCATCTCAACAAAATAGTCAGAAAAAATGTGATTTATATTTCAACATTAGTAGTGTAAAAATAAGATTTAATTTTTATTTATGTATTCATAGATCACATTAAGTGTAGGCAATTTGTAGATGGGGACACTTTCATCTGTGTGTGTGTGTGTGTGTGAGAGAGAGAGAGAGAGATCTATCTCTCTTCTTAGAGACAGACAGAGAGAAGGAGACAGACAGAGAGAAGGAGACAGACAGAGAGAGAGACAGAGAAGAGACAGACAGAGAGAAGACAGACAGAGAGAGAAGGAGACAGACAGAGAGAGAACAGACAGAGAGAGAGAAGGGAGACAGACAGAGGAGACAGAAGAAGGGAGACAGACAGAGAGAAGGAGACAGACAGAGAGAAGGAGACAGACAGAGAGAAGGAGACAGACAGAGAGAAGAGACAGACAGAGAGAAGGAGACAGACAGAGAGAAGGAGACAGACAGAGAGAAGGAGACAGACAGAGAGAAGGAGACAGACAGAGAGAAGGAGACAGACAGAGAGAAGGAGACAGACAGAGAGAAGGAGACAGACAGAGAGAAGGAGACAGACAGAGAGAAGGAGACAGACAGAGAGAAGGAGACAGACAGAGAGAAGGAGACAGACAGAGAGAAGGAGACAGACAGAGAGAAGGAGACAGACAGAGAGAAGGAGACAGAATTTCAGTAACCAATTCTGTATAGAAGATATATTCTATTAAATCATCCATTATTTAAAAAAGGATAGCATTTAAAGGTTTAAAATTTCTATGAAAATCATTTTCTAATTTGTAATTTGGGCAAGATTCAATTTTGAGAATTACATCAAACTAGTGTACCTGTGCCATCAAAGATGACAATTGTTAGAAAGTTCTAATAGATGCAATGAAACAAGTCTTGAAACAATGTATTGTGATTCAATAAAGCAGAGAAAGAATTCACAAATCAAATAGAAGGTCAATGAACCATTTAATTTGCCCCACTTTTTTTTTCAGATGATCAAGGTTATCTATGATTCATTGATTACTCCTGGTATTATAGAAATAACTTTTTGCGCAATATATTTTCATGTTCAAAACAAAGTGAAAGCAAGATGATCACTTAATAAACAAAGGTATCTGAGAGTCTCACATGAAAGGCCTGAACAAATAAGATTGCAGTCTAAGAAATGTAGAAATAAAGGAACAGATTAATCAAATGGCTCACTTTGGTCAGGGAAATAATTTTGTCTAAAAGCAGATAAATATTTTATTTGTATAAATTATTAAAACAACTAATGGAAGTAATCACTCATAAATTTACTAACTAAAGTTAATTTACCTCCCTTCCTCACTACAGATGGGACAGGAAATATATAAATACACTTTGATTATATGTTTTTTTTGATCAGTCAAATCAAAGAAAAAGTAAGACATTAACCATTAATATGATATAGATTAACAGGGTAGTTCCTAATAAACAGCATTATTTCAAAACAAGTAAATATTTATACAGCTCTTAAGCAAGCAAAATGTCAATAGGCAAAAAGTTCAGCAATTCAAATTTACAGCTCACATTGACTAGAATATAAATCCATCAATTAGAATGTAGGTTATAAAAAAAAAAAAAAAAAAAAAAAAAAAAAAAGAGAAATTAAGTCAATCTCCAATAAGTATCATGTAATATTTTTGATATAGTAATACATCATTTTTGGCAATTTAATGGTAAAGATTAATCATAATGATCAAATATTAAACAAGGATCAAAATTACAAGCCAGACAATAGATTAAATGTGCCCTTGTAAACCTCAACAAGAACCAAGATTTAGACATAGTAAGAAAATTAACACCTGGTAAAGTGTCATTTAATATCCCCCGGTTGGATAAATATTTATAGGTAACCCCAAAAATTTGTATACCTATAGTTTAAATGTATTTTTCACAAAGGAAAAATACTTTTCAAAGATTTCCCCCCAGCTTCAATTGAAAGCTAATGAATTAAATTTTCTAATTCCAGAAAAAAAAAAAATATATATATATATATATATATATATATATATATATATATATATATATGTGTGTGTGTGTGTGTGTGGAGTATTTCAAGTAGAAATTAAAATGATTTTTAGTCAATTCTTCCCAAGAAAAAAAAAAAAAAAAAAAAAAAAAAACAGCCATTTTTTAAATTTTTTTTTTTTTTTTAGAGAAATTTAGACAAAAATTATTTTTTTCCTTTTTGAAAATAAGATATACATTTCTGAAACATTACTTTCATAAAATTAGCAAATTTAAAGTTAAATTAATCTGTTCTGAAACATATCACTTATAGCATAAAATTTTATAGACAAACATTTTGATATCAGTGTATTATTTTCATGTCTCCATTGGTAATTTGATGGCTGAATGTGTTGACATGTTTAGTATGGGGCACCAAAATTGACATAATGTTTTTGTTTCTTATAATTTAAAATACTATAAAAAATTTCTTACCTCTATAATGGTATTTCATTATTTAATAGCTAAGATGAGAAATAATTTTATTAATTATAATTGTTACATTAAGTTATTACATATTTAATTTAATAACCGAGATAAGTAATAAAATTATTATTATATTAATAATTAAAATATCTTAATCAAATTGTTTAAATTGATAATAAAATTATCTCAATTTATTTCTAATTTAATAACAGAGGGAGCCAAAGACCTTTATATGTCAAGGGGTTTTCCCCTAAGGGGGAGACAAGCCTTGAAACACATGACCTTTTAACCATAATGTCACATACAAGATTAAAAAAAAGATTTAATTTCTCAAAAAAATCCAGTTTATTAATATAATACAATTTGCAAACTTTTAAATTCTAGAAAATTTCATAGAATTAATTTTTTTTTTTGGGGGCACATGTAAAAAAAAAAAAAAAAAAAATTTTGTTTACCAAGATTTTCTAAAAATAAAAATTTCAAAAATAAATTCATTCATTTTTGAATAAGTCCTGAAAGTTTCATTAAAATCAGACAATTATTTGATTTTTCCAAGGCTTTACAAATTAATGAGCTCCCCATCCCCGAAAACTGCTACACTAAAATGGCCATTACAAGTAGTACAAAGTTGACAAATTTGATAAAAAAAAAAAAAAAAAAAAAAATAAAAAAAAATTTTTTGACCCAAATTTAGAACGTTAGAAAATAAAAAAAAAAATTGTTAAAATTAATTACAAATACTTTCTTCTTAATAACAAACATTTTGACGATAAAACTGTTTTTATTAAGTTTGGAGCCTTTTATCATTATGCTATTCTGATAGTGAATTATTGGAGGTACCTACTTAAAAAGGTTGTAAAAAAAAATATAATTTTATTTCTCTTTACTAAGACTTCTTGAAAGAAAATAGGATATAATTAAAATAGAAACAAGAGACCTGTAGCAGCTGCTTTTTGGTTGTTTTTCTACTGTTTGTGGCTGTCTTAAATGAGGCAGTTATTTTCAAAGTTGAATTTAAGAGAATTAAACTTGGGAATAAGCACACACATTAACATCAATGCATACTTTCCCTCCTAAGTACATATCAAGACAGGGTATTATTATAGCAGATACTCATATTTAAAATAAAGACTGCATTTTTATTTTTTACTTTTAACAGTGTGTATTACATCAATCAGCCTGCATATTAGAGAAATAGCAAAGAAAATGTGCATTCCATTAGAAATTGAACCTGCACGCCAACCCCAGTGTAGAAGAAGAAGAAGAAAAAAAAAAAAAAAAAAAATCAAACAACACCATTTGATTTGATGTGCTTTATCACTTAGCTACAAAGAGTGACCACAGTTCAGCAAGGGTGTTATCCCTTTTAAGGAAAGCACACTTCCTAAGATATTTTTTTCTTGAAAGGCCATATCTGCTCAGTTTCATATCCAAAACATAAACAAAGCAAGGATTAACTAATTTATTTCAAATCTGATATTTGTAATCCTCCAATATTGGCTTCTCCAAGAAAATAGAGAAACAGCTTGATCCCAGCCAGAGAGAAAATTTTCTTTAAGATTTCTTAAAATATACAGGATGATTGATATAATACATACAGTTTAAGACAAAAATAAAAATGGGGCATCTATTTCAAATATGAGTATCCACTAAACAATGGATGTAATAAAAATGTTGGATTAAAAATGAACCAATTAATCCTATAAGAATATGGAGGGAGGGGGTGCGTGTGTTATTAAAAAAAAAAATAAAAAAATAAATAAAATAAATAAAAACTTCATGCACTTTTATAAAAATATTGGGTTTTATTTTTTATGTATTCACCCAATGAAAGGAAAAATACTTTCAATGTTTTTTTTAGCACTCAAAACTTCAGTTTTGAGAGATATATATTTAAAAATATAATTTATTATAATAGACAGCCAAATTCATTCAAAAAGCTAGAACATTTCAAAAAGTTAACTTGAGCAAAAGCAGAAAGTAGCTAGAGACAATCTTTTTAACTTTATGTGAAGCAAAAGGAAATAGATAGACAAGTTCAACAGAAAAATAAACATTTAAAAATAAAAACATTTTTTATACTTTGTTGATAGATAGTAGCCTAAAAATTGACAGCCGTACACATGCACATCTGAACAGAATTTCTGGATGCATAATTTGCAAAATAATCAGTGCAAATTACATTATGCAAAAGTATTATTAGTTTTGCTTTCTTTTAACAGGTTGATTGCCAACCCAAAATTAGCATAGGGTCATGTGGGACTAGTTTTTCTTTTTCAAAAATATTCTGTAAAACAATGAAAGATTTTTTTAGCACTAATATTTTTTTGAGAAAATGTTCAATTTTTTTCCCCCTAATCTAAGCCATGTCAGCAACTAGGTGACAGCTATTTTCTTATCTGCATATTTTCAGATTTTCTAAATGATATATACATTATTTTCTAACAATTACATGCTTCATGGTAAATAAAGAAGCTTTATTAGGTGCTATAAATATGGTTCACTAGTTAAAAGACATACTGTGCACACTTTTAAGATAGCTCCTGTAGAGGACTAATTGGGCTGCTGACCAAAAACTAAAAGGTCTCTGGTTCAGCTTAAAAAACAGCAATGATAATTTTGAAGAAATAACTGAATTCCTCAGTTCACGCAATAGAACTAATTTTAAACAAAATTAGTAAATTCAAAGTTTTTGTATTACTTTAAACTCAATATAAATTAAAAAAAACTTAAAATCACTAATTCTTTTCATTTTTTTTTTTTTAAATTTTAACTATTCTCTCCTCAGCCGGACACAAATCCCAACGCTGGATGTTCAAGTACCAAATGAAGGGCAGATTTTCAATCCAGTGATCATCTAGATTCCACAAAGGTATAATATGTCTATGTAGTGCAACTGTGGCCCGAGTTAGAAAGGATTTAGACACACAGACAGAATTTGCCATTTATTTAGATTACAGTCACATCACAAAATATATTAGTGACAAAATTAATTCTGCAAACATTACTAATATTGTAGTTGAATCAGTAAGTTTTTCCTTGAGCTATGTTTTATTTTTTAATAGCTCCTCGATATATAATAGCGCCAACATTTGGTGAGGCAACTTCAAATGTAAATATATCCAGCCCCAGCATCTGGAGACACAGCATAAATTGAAATACCAGGTCACCAATATATAGTGATATGGCAATCAGTGTGTGTGTGATGTATGACTATATCAAACCAAAAAGTTTCAGTTTTTGCTTAGATTTTAAGACAAATTCTATTTCA